CCGGGGCTTATTGTGGACTTATCCTGGGTTTATTTTGGGCCTATCCGGGGCTTATCCGGGGCTTATCCTGGGCTTGTCCTGGGATGATCCTGGGCTTATCCTGGGCTTATCCTGGGCCTATCCTGGTTATCCTGGGCTTATCCGGGGCTTGTTGGGATGGGGAGGAGGGCAGGGAAGGCTCCGTCAACGACCCTGAATTTAAGCAAATATTTGGGGCCTTGCGGGAACAGAAAGTCCTAGGGCGGAGAACCTGCGCTGGCCTTGTCTGAGTCTGCAATCGCTGGAGCTTCCTTCTTCTTGTTAGCGGGGTCCTCCCAGTCACATGAGACACCGCTTGAATCGAATTCTAGCTCTGGCCTCGCGGCCGAATGCCTTCCATACCCAAACAGACTTGGCTTTCTTGGCGGGGGAGACAACAAAGTATTCCCCAAAACGCTTGGAGTCAGCCTCGCAGCATAATCACATTGCTTCGACAATTGCTGCAGAGAGTGAGTGTCTAACGGTTGTCTGTCCCTCCGTGAAGTCTTTCAGCTGCGGGAGTGTAGGGTGATGACTAGTGACTAGTGAGGCATCTGTGGTTTCCGTAGCATATATCCTAAGCCTAGGGCCTAACTGTCTTGCGTGCAACTCTCGCGCACAACACGACTGTGCGGACCCGAGTCCCTCTGATCTTGCTGCAGCATCCAATCGTCTGCAGCGTTCGGCAGGGATCTCTGTTCCTTGCTTGCCGTGTCTGTCAGGACGTAGAGCTGCGCCGCTTCGTCGAAGTGAAGCTTGAAAGGCTCCTGGGGTACCATCGCTTCGTCCTCACAGGGTTCGGTTTTCGGATGTCGTTGTTTCGGACTGAAGGAGAACAGGGTTCAATGAGATTGAGATTCTGGGTGTTTAAGTTCGTGTGGCACTCGCGAAATCCAACATGTGAAGAGTGAGGACAGTGAGGACATAGCTGCACAGCAACACGCTAGGCAACTCGGATATATTATATTTAGATTGGTGTGTCTCTGGTCTGTTGTGTGTCCACGACCATGTATTTCAGTATCGAGATTTAAATATTCCACGATGCTAGTTGCTGGTCCTCAGAGGAAGACGGGCAATTGAGGGATTCTTGCGTCTGCGTGCGGTTGCCCAGAGGATCGGGTCCAGGGATCTGCTGTGCATAGCCCAGGCCACAGACGGAGCACGTCGCTTTCGGCTCTCCACAAGCACAGCGACCAGGCAGAGTGGGGATTGCTCCTGCGAGAGAGGCGGCACTCTAGAAAAATAGAAGCAGCAGCAGCATTTGCAGCGGTAGCGGCAACAGCAGAAGCAGTAGCACAGCAGGTTTAGCGTTATGTAATCCTGAGTCAAAACAATTGCAACATTTCATTGCAGTTGGATTAATTAAGTAGCGGAACAGCACGATCATCATTCGTTCAGATCATCGCCGTCACCTGTAATTATTGTCATCATCAACCATGCATCATATTAACCCTCATCCTCTTAATGCTTCACCCTTTGAAGTCAACTGTCTCAGTCTTTGAAAATTAGGTGTAACGCTCGGTTTCTATAAAGAGTCCACTTTTCGATCACCGCAAGTTAGGCGGGATGGGGGAGCGAGAGTAGTTCATTCTCGCGTAAAACACAAGCGAACAAGTGGACATGTGTATATATATATATATAACACATATGTCTTGCCAGCCACAATATAGTTTTTATTGCCAGCCCAATCCGTGCCACACACTGAATCACACTGGCCTTTGGGTTCCATACCATGAAGCAACGCAGTGCCTGCGTGTGCCACTGCTAGCATCTTGGCCGAAGGGGGAGCCTGGGTGTTCATGGGGGCAGGAATCGGCATCGGCGCCGCCGCTGGTGGAGTGCTGGGCTGGCCGAGGTGGAACTCCAGAGCACGTGGTGTCAGGAGCGCTCGTAAGTGCTCTTTCTGAAGCAATGCCGAGGGCTCTTGCTGCAGGTTCTGCACGGGCGCAAGCACTTGATCGCAGTAGAGCACGCTCGGCGCAACACGGGTCAAGCCTCAAGCACAGGGGTATGTGGCCTCGATTCTCTAGGTTTCGTTTCGTTTGGATTACCGTGCGCGTGCTTCGCTATGTTCCTGACGACATCTCCGAACAGTAAACACAACTAGGACCTAGGACCTGGGAAGATTTTTGCTGTCGCGTTAACCAAACGTAACTAGACAAAAACCAAGTGATGGATCTTAACACTACAGCTAAAGCTAGAAACCCTTTGAAACTCCAAGGTTGAAAGTGAGACTTCGATGATGCCGTCCTGAGTACCGATGGTCCCTATACCATACCCTAGAACCCGGAGCCGTGATTTAGGCTGTTAAGTTTCTAGGGTTTACAGATTGACTTCAGCCAGGGTGTGCCACTTCAATAAGTTTCCCTATTGTGTTGATCAGAAACGACAGTGGTCCGGGAACCTGCACGGCTACCTTGGGAGCTGAAGGCAAACCTATGGAGTGCACCGGTTCGTCCCGGGCTGTACATTGTGCTGCTGCCCAACCTATAACTGTAGTTATAATCTACGGAGTTACGCTGTCGTGAGCCATCCACTCCCCAAAAAAACAAACTGTCTTGCTGAGGATTCTCTAGCAGAGCGAAAGTCAACGCTACCCAAGCCCACCCGACCCCAAATTATAAAAGAGCGTAGCCTAGCGAACCGCGAAACCAAGTGCAGCGTGTGTTTCACGGCTGCATTAGGGCATCAAGCCTGAAGCCCTATATGTAAAAAACAAACACCCTACTCAAAATCTGACGCCCAAAATCCCTCTGAGGTACTGAAACTCTTAAACCACAAACCCCGACAAGCTGAAACCTAAGTTCGTACCCAAACCACAGGAGTATGCGATCCGAGCAGCTCTCCGTGGCGATGACGTAGGCTCGGCCGCTCGACTTCTCAAGCCGGAGGCAGTAGGTCTTATGATACGGGCTATCCAAGTGGCAGCTAATGTCAACTTCGGCAGCCCCGTTATCAAGCATCCATGCAGACCCGTGCTTGTTGAGCCTGAAGCAGTCCTGTCCTCCTTGCCAAGCTCGGCAGATGGTGTGGATGGTGTCTGCCGGCATGTGATCTCCGGGTCGCTGTCGCCTCGTGTACTGCTGCAACAGCGTGGCTGCTGTCTTGTCCGCGTTGGCTTTCCTGAAGGGGACGAGTTGGATGTTCGAGCTCGGGTCTAGTCCCACAGCTTCACATGATCATGATAGCGACACAGGCCTCAGCTCTAGTTTTATTTCAGCAAGGCGGCTCATCGGCCGTAAGGCGGTCGGTGGGATGTTTCCCCCAATAAAACCAAGCCATGGAATGCAAAACATCATCCGAGAGAGTATCGAGATACGACGTATTGGCGAAATCGCCCTGAGTCACAGTCACAGATATTAGTTGGTTCATAATGCAGGACTCCAAAAGTGGCGTCTCGTCACTGGACAAAAGACTACTGCCACTTGAATGCTAGTGGCGCCGCTCTTTGCCAGCAAGTCTTTCAAGATGTAATCCTGAGTGACTCGCTAACTCCGTCTCACAAAGACAAAACCTACAGGGCTCAATACGTACAAGCACGATTGTCACTAGGTCTAGCGTGTATGTAGGCCCCCTGCTGTGATGCCGTTCCACTGAGACGCGTAGATCACAGGTCCACCTTTGCTGCCGCTCTTCGTCTTCGCGTCAGCCTTCCCTGTCTGCCGGCGTCGCCGCTTGTTTGCGGTGGTTACGGACTCCTCTGGCTCAGCAGCGCCATCCGGACTGGGAAGAGGGGCGCCAGGAGGAAGCGCGGCGGGGTTGTGCGGATAATAGCCAGCAGCAGGCAGCATTGGAAAGCCGGCGGCTGACATACCGTATGGATAGTGACCTGGGTGAAAGCCTGCCGGCGGAGGTGCGGCGGCTGCTGCAGCACTGGGGTTCGGATAGCCACCCGGCGGCGGAGGCGCGGTACTGGGGTTCGGATAGCCACCCGGCGGCGGAGGCGCGGTGCCTGGTGCAGCACTTGGGTTGTGCGGCGGATAGCCACTTGGCGGGAGGCTAGCACCGCTGCCCAAAGGAATCATGTTAGCACGGGTTCTCTCAGAGCTGCGCACAGACTTGGGCCTAGATCTCCAAACGGAATTGATGTGAGTCGTATCACACAGTTGCTCACGTTGGCAAAACAAGCATGCTGCTATCATGCCTGGCTTGCTGCTACATCATACTGTTACAAGCAAGCAAGATGGAACCACTGACCTGGGAGCGCACAGAGCAACCTAGTAGGCCCACCCGATGCAATATTAGTTATTAACTGTATCTGTGCTATTTACATATTCCGACTAAGTCTCAGCAAGCTGAAGCACCCAAGTCATATTTCAGCTGTCCGTGCTCTGTCCGTGCGGCCAGGTCTTGCCGCCACGCTGGGCGATCTTCACAAGCCACAGCCGCTACACAGCAGCAGGGTGCACACTAAAGCAGCTGAACGCAATCATCTGCACCAAGCATGCGCACTGAAGGGACATGGCGTTGCCCAGCAGCTGAGCGGAGCGCTTAGAGTCGCGAGTGCCCATAGCCGGCACCAACAAGGAGCTCGCCACGTGCTGCTCCACAGGGAAAGTCATGCACGCAAGCCTCAGGTAATGGAAACGCTGGCTATATGGGCGCAGTCTGCTATGCAACGGTTGAACGTGTAACTGGTTCCCTAAATCCGGGAGTACACAAAACCTCGAGGAAATCCAAAGTGAAGTAGACACCCAAACAGCCATGCAAACACTGACCTAAAAGCACACAAAGACACACGACACCCACAGACGCACGTAGCCTCTCTCGGTCTTGCTTGCAGGATTAGCAGCTTTTCTGCAGACGTCATCCAGCGCCTCTCAGCTGGGAACCAGAGTTTGCCAGCGTTGCGCCTCAAGACCGGGACCCGGTTGCTGACAGCGCTCCAATTAACTGTAAAGGAGGGGTCGTCTCCGAGGAAGTAGCACAGGTCCGGGTTGCTTTCTGGTCGCTGCCCTGTCCTCATGGAGTACAACTGGTTTAACTGCTGCACTGCACGAGCTTCCCTGTCTGTCAGTAAGTAGGAAAGGTCCAGGACGTTGGACCGGAAGGGTACGCGAGCAGCACCTCGAGTGTGGACAAATCAAAGAGTTGTTGCATTGAAACTATGCTACTACTGTTGTTCATTGACTGTAACACTGCACCAGCCTAAGTTTGAGGGACAATCATAGAGTCGCATTCTGGCTTAGCTCCAGCATATCAATCTAAAACGGTTTAGGGTTTAGGGTTTAGGGTTTAGGGTTTAGGGTTTAGGGTTTAGGGTTTAGTGAATCTATACGACCTAGATCCCATTCATTTGCAAGCTGGGAGGCTTGCTGTCGCAAAGGCTTCGAATTGAACCTCCAGGTCCCCTGCTATCAAGTAGTCCCGGGGTTTCGTCTGGAAGCGTGTCCGCACGTGGTCGGCAACACTGTGAAACAGCTGCACAGGGTCAGCCAGCTTTCGTGCTGTTTTGATCACCACGATCACATAAAGCCTCGTGCGGGAGACGCCGCTGTGACCAACATCGGCGGGCTCGACCCGCAAGGGGTACACATTGTAGAGGTCACCAAGAAGCTTGTCCAGGATGTGCGTGCGGCAGTCCTTATTGGCATGCGGCAATGCAAACTCTGAGGCAGCGCCTAGGGTTGTAGCAAGCGACAATAGCTGCGATCCTAGTGGCAGGCGTGTTCTCTAGCACTGCGAGAGGAATGTGGTAGCGCCGAAGCCGCAAAGCCCAGACGCAAAACAAAGGTCCTGTTGGACCTTCTTCGAACTGACGAGCTCCGTTGCACTGTTTCATTTGTGAGTTGTCAACACAGGGCAGGCCGGACATGTCAAAATCAACGTGCGGCACCAAACAGCTGCAGCCATGCACTCTGCATTCCTGCCACTGCACAGTCTCGGCTGAGTAAATTGCCGCCCTCGCATCCTCGAAACCTTGGGCTGGGCAGACTGATGGCGGTGCGACAGCCACTGCACTAACCTCTAGCACTGTTGACTCAAAAGCCGAGTCAAGAAGCTCTCCGAACCGCTCAGGATGCCGTCTGGCACCAACCGCATCATGTCGCCAAAAACGCATGGCAGCGGCGTCTGCTGGCCGGTGGCTTGGTTCCCCCAAGCATGGTTATCGATGATGCACTGAAAGCAGTTTTTGTTGATCTCCTCAGGTAGGACAATGATCAACCAACACAGGTTCAGTTCCTAACGCCGTAAGCTGCTGCTGCGTGTGGAAAAACCTGAGTCTGAGAGCGAGTCCCAGGCGGCTTTGGGTTTGAAGCGTATCTTCTGCTGGAAGTAGCAGGACGCATTCACGATTCTTGTTGCGACAACCAATGCAGCCTCGGCTGTGTAGACCCCTGTACACATCGAGCTCGTGTAGCGGGCTGTTGTCCACATGGATTCCTCGAATCCAGAAGGAATGTCAGGAAGACGCTGAAACGAGACGATGCCCAGCCCCGCCCCGCCTCAAGTCCTGGGACGTGCTTGCTGATGAAACGCCATGCAGCCTGTGGCACGGTGACATCATGCAATATCAAATCACGGCAACACAGGCAAACAATCTAAACTACAACGGACCCTACTATTCCTTGATTCGTAGGCCTGCCTGCAGTCCCTGGGAAGCTGCAGCAAGCCTCTCGGCATTCTCAGTCGAGACCAAGTCCTCGCATCGAGTAGTGCAGGGACATACATAGATTCGACACATGCTGCCCCTTGAAGTCCTTCCGATAGAACGCGGCTTTGATGCATTCAGTGTCGGTAGCCGTTGTCCAGGAGTCGGAGCACGATCGTTTCATGGCTAGGCTTGCTCCGGAGGTGCTGGTCAGATTGATTCTAGCATCATATTATGGCATATGGGAACACATGAGGCTTCGAGTGCTGCGTGTTCGATTCAAGCATGGTCACTGTCACCTGCGGTCTTGCAGTTGCAAAGTAAGAGAGCAAATATGCAGAGAAAGTCGACTCTCAACCGCGCTGCAAGACGGAAACTTTCGCTCGACATTCAAAACAACACCAGGGCCCCGACCAGCGGGGGGGCGAAACCGCCGAGAGCCTTCCAAGGACCTCGTGCCCGGCGCCCGTGTATTAGGAGACGTGCACTCAAATTTTAGGGGGAGCTTTAACATGAATTGAAGTATGACGCTGCAGCTGGGATCTGGTATATGATAAATGTCTGTGACTCCGAACCATGAGGAGAATTGCGAAGGTGATTTGCGAACTTAAAGAGCTTACGTTTCTAGGAGACTTTAAGAAGCGTCGACTGCTTTCAGGCACCAATAGCCTGAGAATATTGCTGCACTGCAAATAGTGGGCGGCATCTGTGGGATCGATGATGTGCTGCGTTCTCTGCAGGACGTCTCCCAAACGGTGCAACGACACCGATAGGTAGGATCTTGTACGCATGTCCTAGTTTGCCCGGGAGCCCAGCAAAACACCCAGAACACCTCCGTGGGGATCTTCCCCACCGAGGAGCCGTCCATGGTGATCTGGCAGCACTTCAATGATTCAAAGTCCACTGAGAATTTGGCGCAATATTTGAGCGCCGCACATGAAAGACTTTCTGACCCTCGAACTCGGCCAGCATGCGCTGCGAGTATGGCACCTGAGTCGTCATTCAGCCATGGCAGCGATTCTTGGGTTTTCTGGACTTCCTACTATGACAGACAGGAAGCCATCTCGCGCATAGCAAAGATGCACGGCTTGGTCTTCCACTCGCCCAACACTGATCTGATGAGCGTCTCCTTCGAAGCAAATCCCGAGATTCAGCTGGGACGTGCAAGCCCTGGCTCATGACTCTTAATTCTAGTTCTCTCCTCCCCGCATCGAAGTTTTCGCACAGCCTCTACGAAGGATGATAACGGCTGCCTTTTGCCAGGAGCGTGGCGGGCTTTAGCCGGAGCGAGGCCAAGTCTCAGGCCCTTGTCGTCCTGCGCACGGTGCGTGATGCTTTCCTGTTGATGCAGATAGAAATCAACCACACGCCAAAACTTCAAAAGAAGGCTGCAACAGTCCAGTTGTTTCGCGATCTGTGCCACAAGGCTGTAGGCGATGGCACGCAACAGTTTCACCTCCTCAGCAATCGTGTCCGGCTCCGATCCATGGCACCTCGAGGCGGCAAATGAGAAATGTGCGCTAGGAGTACGGTCATGTTTCCCCACAGGTCAATGTCAATATCATGGCCTGTGGAAAGCAAACGCCACAATGTCTGCCAAATGTGGCACCGATTCCGGGGTCTGCACCAAGCTGTCCTCTGGATCATCCTGAGTGCAGGCAGATATTTGATACACAGCCGACCATGACAATGTCTTCAATGGAATTATGGAATGCAACAAACTTAAACAGTCCATGTGCCAAGCGCTCCCGCCAGACAGCTTGCAGCTTATCCACGCGGTCACACGTCGACCCCCAGAACAGGCTGCCATCCACTGTCCCGTCTGCGCTCACCCGGCAAGTGCCGGCTCGAAACCACTGCAAGTCGAGAAGGGTAACACTGAAGTCCAACTCACGCGCCAGCAGTGTCACTACCTCCTTAAGAAAGCGATGACAGCACCGAGTGGTGCTGGGATACGTGTTCGGCTCTCCAATCTTAGCGGCTAAGGCTGCCATCATGACAGACGTGTCGCAGGTCCTCTCAGACATGCGCCCGATGCTTTCGCCATCTCCGGTTTTCGTCGGCAGAGGCTCTGGAAAGCGAACGCCCGGCCATATAGCCGAGTGCCAGTCACTAACAAGTCTCTGCGAACCTGCCTCGTAAAAGGCTTTTTTGAGAGACTTGCGGCGTTCTGCTGCTGTGGCCGTCGAACGGGTCTTCGCTTCGTCATAGAAAAGAAGCAAGAAATACGGCACCGCCCATTGCAGCTGCCGGTCCTTTGATATGCTGCGAAACAAGAACGAAGTTGCAAAGCCACAACAAATAGTTCAAGGAAAGTAGCACGCACATGCCATACTGGGATGATGCGGTTTAGCACGGTCACTTGACCTAGGTGATTCAATTGCGAAGTGACTCTGCTCCCGTTTGATGCAGCGTCTGAGGCAGCTGCGTTCCGCGAGTATGAGTACATCCGATGCGGCCATTGCTGAAGCAAGCGAGTAGAAAAGATGTCGTATGTACGGTGTCGATGCTGCTTTTCTCTTGGGTCATGCTGCACTCTTCGATGCGGCACAGTAATTCCGAGATAGGCCTAACACGGCAACAAACATCTTCCGATTAGGGTTTAGGGTTTAGGGTTCAGGGTTTAGGGTCTAGGGTTTAGGGTTTAGGGTTTAGGGTTTTGGTTTAGGGCCTACTTGGAAACTTAAGACATTCTCGGCCCCAGGAACGTAACAGGTTTCTTTGACCAGGCGGGGGCGATACCTTGAAAGACGGCGCATGGTTGCACATGTCGCAGCCTCCACCACCCATCTCGTGCAAACGGTTTAACACCGGATAGTGACAGGTTAGCCAAAACTCATACTATCCTGTCCCTAATAAGCACTTATCCGACGCTTTTGGTATAAGCTAAGGATAAGGCCAACCCCCCCTCCCCCAAGACCCCCTCCGCCCACCCCATGATTTGTTTTATAGTTTAGACACTTTG